TGACAGCTAATCCATGGTCTCTGTTACCTATACCACAGATTAGTCTTGGTATTTGAGACACATAAGCCCCCAGTGCCTCTGCAAATCAGCACTTTAATAAAACACTCTTCCCAGTCGAATTCATTACTGTGCAAATATAAGTGCCCACTATTCAATTCTTCATAAGAGTTCCTATGTAAACCACCACCAGCACAGGAAAACAAAGCCATGCTGAGCTTGAATGCTGGGCAACAGGGTGGCTTCACTCACTAGCCCACTGCCTCACCAGCCTGCCAGCCAGCAATTCAGGCAGCTCAAATTCACAACCAGCAAAATGACAAATTGCGTGGATCAGACGCCTCTGGGGTCACTTGCAAGAAGAAAATGCAAATCATCAAATTTGCAAATGCCTTCTGTTAAAAGACAACCTTCAAACAATGTTTTAAAAGGGAGAGCAATGAAAGCCTGCTACAACTGTAGGTGCCATGATGAACGTGCAAATTTCTGTCCCACACTGGACAAAGCACTGGGCGGAGTAAGGAACAGCCAGAAAACACCACAGTCTCAGCATCCACCCACAAGAAGTATCACCAAGTTTTAAGGGATTAAGAAAAAAATGTCTACACAGGACCTGTCCCATTAGGATTTCAATAAAAGAAGGATAATGCCATGAGGAAAATAAAATTTTCTCTCTCTTTAATAGCAGAGAATTTGCCTAAGAGCAGCATGGTATAATAATAATACAGAAGAGATTAAAGATCAATGTAAAAAAAAATAACAGTCTGAAATTAAATAATTAAAACTTAAAGCTGTTGGCACTTTAAATTATGCCAAACATTAAGAGGAATGTGGCTCTGGGGCTGCAAATTCTGCCTTTCTTTCCTGTAAATAATTAAGACCAAACTGTGCTGGAGATAAGACTTCCTCGGATAACCTTCCTGGGAATGTAGCAATCTGTAAACAGGCAAATCACTGTGGGATCCACATTGGTCTTGCATGGAAATTGCTGGGATCCTGCTGGAACTTCTCTGTCTCTGCCTATATAATTCTTCACTTTGGAACCCTGACCCCATTGGTTTGGAGGTGGTGTTTCTGAGTGGCCATTGTCAAGCTCTGTGCACAAATAAACTCTATACTTAGTCACACTTTCTGAATCTCGTTGTTCAGGCTAAGTCACGGTAATGTATTGAACCATTTCACTGACTTCAGAACAAAGAGATCAATGCTCACTAGTACATTCCACATCTTTTTCTTTTTTTTTTTTTAGACAGAGTTTCACTCTTGTTGCCCAGGTTGGAGTGCAATGGCACAATCTTGGCTCACTGCAACCTCCCAGGTAGCTAAGATTACAGGTGCCCACCACCACACTCAGCTACTTTTTTGTATTTTTAGTAGAGATGGGGTTTCACTATGTTGGCCAGGCTGATCTTAAACTCCTGACCTCAGGCAATCCACAGCCTCGGTCTCCCAAAGTGCTGGGATTATAGGCATGAGCCACTGCGTCTAGCCACATTCCACCTCTTTCTATATTAAGTAATTTTTGGGGGGTGGGGAATGGTTTGCTCTGTCACCCAGGCTGGAGTGAAATGGCACAATCTTGGCTCACTGCAACCTCCGCCTCCCAGGTTCAAGCAATTTTCCTGCTTCCGCCTCCTGAGTAGCTGGGATTACAGGTGCACATCACCACACCTGGCTAATTTTTTTTTTTTTTTTTTTTTTTTTGTATTTTTAGTAGAGACAGGGTTTCCCCATGTTGCCCAGGCTGGTCTCGAACTCCTGACTTCAAGTCATCCACCTACCTTAGCCTCCCAAAATGCTGGGATTACAGGAATGCACCACCATGCCTGGCCTCTATACTAAGAAATTATTTAGTCCCTGGACTTTATCCCTTATGACAGTTTTGATACGGAATTTTATCGTAACTCCCAGGGAAAGCTTTACTTTACTACATTTTAGGAGAATTTTACTGAAGAGACAATTTAGGTTTTTGGAATTATATAATTATACTAAAACAATAGCAAAGAGCTCAGTTTAACCTTAGCTTAAGGCTTTTAGTTTAGCTAGCTAGACAGTAAAATTATGATTCTCAATAAAAGCAGCTAAACTTAGTTGTTTTTTTTCCCTGTCAAGGTACGTAACTACACAGAACATGAAAACTCATCTGTTTCCTTTATATCATTCGTTCTCAATAACTGATACTTATCAGAATCACCTGGGGTGATTTTCGAAAATAAACACACCTGGTACTTATCCCAGATCTATGGAATCAGATTCTCCAGGGTGCGGCCCAGCATTACCATCTGAAAACACTCCGGAGAGATACTTACACACACTGAAACCTGACTGTAAAACCAGTCTCTACAACAGTCACTACAGTTGAAAAGAATCATAGGCACACTTCATTTTATCACTTTCGATTTAATTTTGCTTTGCAGATACTGTTTTGTTTTGTTTTGTTTTGTTTTACAAATTGAAGGAATGTGGGAACCCTGCATTGAGCAAGTTTGCTGGCACCATTTTTCCAATAGTATGTACTTACTTCACATCTCTGTGTCACATTTTGGTAATTCTTGCAGTACTTCCAATTTTTTCATTATTATTACATCTGTTATGGTCATCTGTGATCAGTGATTTTTTTTTTTTTTTTTGAGACGGAGTTTCGCTCTTGTTACCCAGGCTGGAGTGCAATGGCGCGATCTCGGCTCACCGCAACCTCCGCCTCCTGGGCTCAGGCAATTCTCCTGCCTCAGCCTCCTAAGTAGCTGGGATTACAGGCATGCACCACCACGCCCAGCTAGTTTTTTGTATTTTTAGTAGAGACGGGGTTTCACCATGTTGACCAGGATGGTCTCGATCTTTCGACCTCGTGATCCACCCGCCTCGGCCTCCCAAAGTGCTGGGATTACAGGCTTGAGCCACCGCGCCCGGCCGATCAGTGATTTTTGATGTGACCACTGTAATTGTTTTGGGGCACCATGAACCACACCCATATAAGACAGCAAATTTGATCAGTGCATGTTACTTATCTTCTGACTGTTTCAATGACTGACCATTCCCATGTCTCTCCCTCTCCTAGGGCCTTGCTATTCCCTGAGACACAACAATATCGAAATTAGGCCAATTAATAACCCTACAATGACCTCTAAATGTTCAAGCAAAAGAAAGAGTTGCACATCTGAAATCAAAAGCTAGAAATGATTAAGCTTAGTGAGGAAGGCATGGCCAAAGCTGAGTCCTGCTGCAAGTTAGACCTCTTGCACCAAACAGCCACGTTACGACTGCAAACACAAAGTGCTTGATATAAATTAGAAGTGCTACTCCAGTGAACACATGAATGGTAAGAAAGCAAAACAGCCTTATTGCTGATATGGAGAAAGCCCAAGTATTCCAGATAGAAGATCGAAAATCAGCCAGAAAGATTGCTCTTCAATTCTATGAAGGCTGACAGGGTTAAGGAAGCTGCAGAAGAAAAGCTGGAAGCTCATACAGGTTGCTTCATGAGGTTTAAGGAAAGAACTTGTCTCTATAGTGTGAACGTACAAAATACAGCAGCAAGTGCTGACGGAGAAGCTGCAGCAAGTTATCCAGAATATCTAGCTAAGATCATTGCTGGAGGCGGTTACACTAAACGAGAGATTTTCAACGTAGACAAAACAGCTTTCTATTGGAAGAAAACGCCACCTAGGACTTTCACTGCTAGAGAAAAGTCAAGGCCTGGCTTCAAAGCATCAAAAGACAGGCTGCCTCTCTTGTTAGGGGCTAATGGTGCTGGTGACTTTAATTGAAGCCAAGGCTCATTTAAAGCCAATGTTCACTTCCCATTCTGAAAATCCTAGAGCCCTTAAGAATTATGCTAAATATACTGTTGCCTGTGCTCTAGAAATAGAAAAACAAGGCCTAGGTAACAGCACATCTGTTTACAGCATGGTTTACTGGATATTTTTAAGCCCACTGTTGAGACCTACTGCTCAGAATAAAAGATTTCTTTGAAACTCCTACTGTTCATTGACAATGCACCTGGTCAAGCCGGAGCCACGATGGAGATGTACAAGGAGAGTGATCTCGACCCCATGCCTGTAATACAAGACCTATTCTTCAGCTCGTACATCAAAAAGCAATTTCACCTTTTGAGTTCTACTTTTTTTTAAGAACTACATTTCATAAGGCTACAGCTGCCACAGACAGTGATTCCTCTGATAGATCTGGGTAAACTGAAAACCTTCTAAAAAGGATTCACCATTCTGGATGCCATTAAGAATATTCATGATGCAAGGGAGGAGGTCAAAAAAACAACATTAACAGGAGTTTGGAAGAAGTTGATTTCAATCCTCACGGATGACCTTGAAGAGTTCATGACTTCAGCAGAGTAAGTAACTACAGACATGGTAGAAACAATGGATGAGTTGCTTCTCATGGAAGAGCAAAGAAACTGGTTTCCCGAGATGGAATCTATTCTTGGTGAAGATGCTAAGACGTTGTTGAAATAAGAACACAGGATTCAGAATATTACATAAACTTAGTTGACAAAGCAGCAGCAGGGTTTGAGAGGCCTGACTCCAATTCTGAGAGATGTTTTACTATGGAAAAAATGTTATCAAACAGCCTCACATGCTACAGAGAAATCTTACATGAAAAGAGAGTTAATACATGTGGCAAACTTCACGGTTGCCTCATTTTAAGAAGCTGCCACAGCCGCCCAACCTTCAGTAACTACCACCCTGATCAGATCAACCATCAATATCAAGGCAAGACCCTCTATCAGCAAAAAACTGTAACTTGGTGAAGGCTCAGATGATCATTAGGATTTTTAGCAATAAAGTATTTTCTAATTAAAGTTTGTACATTGTTTTTTAGACATAATGCTATTGTACATATAACAGACTATATATAGTGTAAACATAATTTGCATATGCACTGGGAAGCCAAGAGCTTCATTTGACTCATGTGCTGTTGCAATATTTGCTTTATTGCAGTAGTCTGGAACCAAACGTGCAGTATCTCCAAGGTATGCTTGCACTTACTTGTTACAATTCCAGCCAGAGCAAAAACAAACTGGTTTTCATCTGAGTTAAGCTCCTTGACATCACCATCCAGTGACTTCACAAAACTCTCCATTGTTTGACCAGTGATACTGAAAAACTTCAAAGCTTTATCCTGAAAGTTTGGAAATCATAGTGTCATATCTTTTTACAGACATTAGTGTGAAAACGTTTTAAAGTGCAGGATATGGAAGATTCTAGTTTTAATCATAGAATATCGTAAAATCTATTCCCTCATTAAAAGTTCCCATTAAAAGAGCACAGAAAGCAGCTTGAGTCATGCAGGAGCAGGAAAAACTACCCTGAAGATTGGTGGACTCTTCATATGCATATTATGAAGAAGGACAAATGTACACAATGATGAAGGTAAATGAGAAGAATTTGCTGAAAAATGTAAGTGAAATATACTAGAAAAACATACTGTCTATTTGCTCTGGCCATTAAACCAGAGGTGTTCAAACCTTTAGCATGACTTTAAAAAAAAAAATCTTAATGGAAACATGTAAAAGAGAAGAAGATTGGCTCCTCTGGTAGTTTAAATCTTCATTACTTGGCAAAACGCATTTCCAAGTTTGAACCCTTCAGTTACTTCCTTTGGGGTGCTAGGGTTCTGAAGAAGAATTTTAAAACAAATGCACATTTTAACACAGTTTAAAAAATGGAAAAATTTGCATTTACAAATGATACAAGAAAACTTCAAGGATGATAAAAAATAATCTAAAACTGGGTTGTGGTGATGGTTAACGCAACTCTAGAAATCTGCTAAAAAACACTAAATTGTACATTTGCAATTTTATAGTATGTAAATTAAACATAATAAAGCTCAACCAACTTTTTAAAACACATTTAGTCTTCCTACCTAAAGTCAAACACAACTGTTATTTCTATTACCTGTAAGTAATTTACCACTGGTTTCCTGACACACATCCCTGTCTTTACTCCCATTTCCAGTCATAATCACGCCACCCTCCCAGAGTCAAACACCAGTCTTTTTTGGCCCCTCTTGTCCCCTCCAGGTGTTCACTCCACCTTGCCATCACATCTGCCTCCACTGCCCTAGCTCTCACACATGTTCCTTCTTTCCCAGGTCCCCTGCCGAGGACTGAGTTCACTCCAGCCAGACGAGCTGGAATGACCTGAGCCCGGGAGGCGGAGGTTGCGGTGAGCCGAGATCGCACCACTGCACTCCAGCCTGGGTAACAAGAGCGAAACTCCGTCTCAAAAAAAAAAAAAAAAAAAAAAAAGTTCTATGTGGCTTTTCAACTGTGCAGGGGGTCAGCGCCCCTAACTGCCACATTGCTCAAGGATCAACTGCATCTATATGTGTATGTGTATGTATAAACACATATATACATCTACATACATGTATATCTGTTAGATAACATAATATTCAATGAATTAAATAGTACATTAACCATGAGATAATATATAAAAGCACTTTTGATCTTGATCTTGTTAAACTCATACACATGTAAAATATTAATACTGAAATGGTAACATAGCCACATATACCACAAGGGCTCCTGGAGAGAAGGGATCTGATTTCATTCACTCTGCAGTAGGTTACAATGACCCATATAAAATTGGTATTCAATAACTAGCTGATGAATGAACAAAAGAAAATTGAAAGAAAGATATGGACTTAGTCATGCCTGTAATCCCAGTACTTTGGGAGGCCAAGGCAGGCAGATCACGAGGTCAGGAGTTTAAGCCAGCCTGACCAACATGATGAAACCGCATCTCTACTAAAAAATACAAAAATTAACCAGGCATGGTAGCACACACCTGTAATCCCAGCTACACAGGAGGCTGAGGCAGGAGAATCACTTGAACCCAAGAGGTGGAGGATGCAGTGAGCCAAGATCACACCGTAGCACTCCAGCCTGGGCAACAGAGCAAGACTTCATCTCCAAAAAAAAAAAAAAAAGAAAGAAAGAAAGATGAACTTAGTCTTTAAATGCCTTAGTGCTCTAAGTCACACAAGCATTAATCAACAACATCTAGAGAGCCCGCTGACCATACTTACTCCTCCCAAAATGGCCTTGACGACTTCCTCACTGCTGGAGACACCCCACAAGAGGGTACAGGCTGCTGCTCCCATTTCTGTACAATACTCTGCCTGCTGCAGGAGTTGCTGCTTCGCTTCATTCAACTGCTGTCGAAGAGCCAGTTTCTCCTGAAAGCAAAACAAAATCAGAAAAATAAATAAGATCATTCAACCTTGAAATATCTTTATTATATTTCCTCTTTCACAAAGATATTTATTAAAGAAATGCAAATATAATTATAGAAAATAGTTGCAAATGAAAGCTAGTCCTGAGAGCCATAATCCATATCTACAAAAGAAACTTTAAAGGCAAAAATATTTGAGAAATATCTGAGGAAAGAACATTCTACTATATTATGGTTGATAGACCCACAGATCTGAATTCATCTGCTTTTAGTAACTACATGAAATATCTGAAGCCCCAAATGACTATACCCAGAACGAGCACCAACAGAGACTTCTGAACAAAGTAACAACCTCACATAGCAGTTTACCCAGAGGGCAACAACATTTCTAAGGCAGGGGACTGCCTCCTACAAATAGCTCACTCCATTATAAATAAAAAATGACATCTGCCAGAGGCAGGTGCAAAATAAAAGGCACTTGGACATCAGGATTTGTGAAAAAGCAGTACTTTAGAAAAACTCATCCTGTATAAACATATCCTTAAGTGCTCATAAGAATATTCCCAAAGGTGCCAGTAAATATAAAACATACAGCTGTGAAGCTAAACAAGGAAAGAAAACCTA